CATCTGCGCGGAGGTTGAAGTTATTCCATCTTCTTTTTTGGTGAGTAAGTCGGATGGATTTTTGCTGCGAAATCATGTCCCGAGTTTGTTTTCCACGTCCCCACAATGAATTGCAGATAATTCATGCGCTGCTTAGGTATTCTGTGCATTTTTTTTTTGTGTCCCGTCGCTTATTTTGTGATTAGTATTCCGTGGACACAGGTTTCCTGCGGCGGTCGCTCACAGAGATTTTTAGTGTCGGTGTTTCCGAGCTGTCTGACTCCCATCATGCGCTTATTTTCCACCGTCCACTCTCCTCTTTCGCTTTAAAGTTCTGGCATGTGTAATCGATCTGTGTTAATGAGTCCTGCTTTTTTTTTTTTATTAGACAAACGTCTCAAATCGATTGGGAACAGGTGCGTCTTGTGAACTTTTTTCCCCCCCTCTGCATTGTGCAGGTGTTGACAGCTAATGCGCAATGATTGATACTTAACAGCAGGGTCAAAGCTGTCAGGTCGAGATGGCCAGAGGGTTCCTGCTGATTTACACTGCAATGAGGCAATTGTCAGAGAGACCTGGGCTGCAAAAAATGTCTCGCTTTTTCCTTGAAGTTACAGGGAAAGAAAACTGCAAGCAAGGTCTGAAAAAAAAAAAGAACCCTATAGAACTTGTTTCAATAAAGACATGAATTAAGATGTTTTAGAAGGAAAAGCTGCTCTGTGGCAGGTCAATGTACACCCACATGTTTCGAGGAAAGCCATGAAACTAATGACTGCAGTGGGAGCAACTGCAAGCTGAATGTTCCTCTTTGTTTAAGGACAAACAGAAAATGACACATGGATCAATAGAGAATAAAATGACTTATTAAGGTGGATTCTTTTTTTTTTCCTGCAGTGCAAGTTTATCTTGGAGTCAGATCAGGCTTTAGTGGAGCTTGCAGGTGCAGGTAAAATTGTCTCCCTTGTTGGTGCATGATTAAAAACATACAGATTAAATGAATACACAAGACAAGACTGAATTATGCAAAATGCATCAAATTCAGAGATTTCTGCCTTTCCAAAACCACAAACTGTCCTGTGTCCTGCGAGCCCTGCAGACTTCACAGCAAGTGGATTATGATATAGTTTTGTGCACAAGCCATCAGCAGCATTTATGAATTATATCATGTGGCTGCAGGACAGAAAAATTGGATATTTTCATTGTTGAGGATGTCGAGGTCTCAGTTAAAATACTTTTAACGCAAAGATTTAAAAAATACTTTCATTAAAAAAGGCTTTAAATTAACTTTTTGTTTCTTTATTCAGGGGAACAATACTTTCAACATGACTCTTAGGTTCAGGACGTAATATGTACATTTTCTATCACCCTTTTGTCGTCTTGTGGACACAGTGGCTCCTTATGCAGCATTAGAGGTTGAACAAATAAGACAAATGTTAACATGTGTATCGGAGTCTATGAGGCCTCTGATTGAACCCTCAACAGATGTTCGGGTTGTCTTGTTTTTTTTATGCTGCAAGTGAACGTACGCTCCCTTGAATTTCAAATGAATCCATGTACGGTCCTAGAAACATGTGAGCGGAAGAGTTCAACCAGAGGACTCAGGTTCAAACTCCTGTGTCAGCACTAGTCCTGTCTGTGTGCACTGTGAGCGTCCTTGAAGACCTCTGCCTATAGGTCGCGTTGTTGTTGTTGTTGTCTCTCTTCGTGGTTGACCCTGTGCTCGGGGAAACACAAAGACAGACGTTCCTGGAATGATCTGATTTTTCTGCTCATATGCATGCCTTTTTAAATGAAGAAAACTGGGATTCAAATGCCACTTAAACGCATATAAAGCCTCGTCTTTAGGCTTTTTTTTCTCTCTCCAGCAAATGACTCAAAATGACGGCGAGTCTATAATAAAGCATCGACAGCCTTTATGAAACGTCTCAAAGCATAATTAACTTACGAGCGCAGCAGTTTGTGTTGTTTACTCTGGCCCACGAGTGAGGACACGTACACAATGATCGAGGAGAATATGGATCAGGGGAAGCGTGTGATTGGTTAGCGAGCTCTGTAGCACTGGTAATCCTGTTGTGAGACTGGCAAATGGGATTAGAAACACAGCGTGTGTAAGAGAAGACACAGCCGGGGATGACTGTGAGGCTTTTTACATTCACGGCTTTATCTCACATTTTCACTTAATTTGGCGTCTTCGCCTTGACACCCCGGCCCAGAGACAAGTCGCTGCTCTCCACGGGAAGTCAAGTGTGGACTTTTTTTTTGGGGGGGGGACATTTTTGGTCTTGCAACAGTGCCAGAAGATGATATTTTGTGGCTGAGATTTGAATATTTTGAAGAAGAGAGTTTCTGCCGGCTGGAAAACCAAGTGAAGCATTTCGAGGATTTGGCAGCCAAACACTGCCAGAGCCTAAAGTTAGACGAGTGTAACTGCCTTCAAATGAAGAATAATAGACAGTTTAATATCTGCACAATGACTTTTTTTCCCTTCCAGTTGGCCCCTTTTTTCTTTTGCATTTTCCCTCAGTCAGTCATCACAGCTCACAGACATCAGGCCTCGTAGTAAAACAACTCCCAGTGAGCGAGATAATCCATCACAGGAACACACGACCCCCTTCATTTGTTTCCCACCCTGAAGTTTTAATTCCTCTCTCTCTCTTTGTCACTCCATTGTGGCTCGAGTCGAGTGTTTTCACATCACTCTGCTTACTGTCAATCACCCGACACCGACAGGAGGAAGAAACAAGGAAAGAAGTCTCTCGTCACATCCATCTCTTTGTATTTGTGTGTCTCTAGTGGCTCATTTCAAGCTAAATTAATTTTTAAACTGATTAATAATTAAAATATATTAGAAAAAAACCAGATCTCCCTGCAGCATGAATTACTTAATAATACAGACGAATCAACTAGACAGTAAATCACTACAAACTCATTTAATAACAAGCCAATATCGGCCTTATTGAGCACGCTGCAACCACATTAGCGTAATCTCAGCCCTGTATCTGACTCCCATCTCCTCCAGTGCGAGGGGGTTAAGTGAAAGGAGAGGCAGCTTCACTGGACCGCTCGGCTCAAACTGACCCTGCATGCGCCGATTTTTTTTCTCCCCCCACCACAAAAACCACCGCTGCAACCTGCCTCTACAAGTCGTGCTGCCCCGCAGCCAGATCTGCTCCACTTTCCACCTCGGCCGTTAAATTGTCATGCAGAGGCTGTGACTTTGGATGTGTTTGTCTGTGCAGGTTCACGTGTCGCAGGCTCAACGTGTGAGGTTATTGTCTTCTAGGGGGAAGGCACGAACGCAGCTTTGTGTCTTCTTTGAGAAGTTCGCCTTGTAGGGGTTTGGTTGCTTTTTCGCACCTTGAAAGCAGGAACTAAACATTTTTAAAAAGTGAAGTGTTCTTTTAGTAAACACCTCTTATACTCAGGATGTTTTCCACACACATCAAGGTGTCTGCAGAGGTGACAATCCTTGTTGTTGGGATTTGCATGGTGCTAATTATTAGCACTATGAACAGCTAATCACTTCCACAGGATGTGTGCGTTGCTGTTTTTATTTTTGCTGTCGGGGTTGGAAAGAGGAAGTACAATGAGAGCTGGAGAAAGCGTGTGGGAAGAAAAGAGGTCACTTTATGCCAAAGCAATTACCTTCCTCGCGGAGGGCCCTGCCAATATTTAGCGTAGAGGAGAGAGAAAGAGAGGTCAAAGAGGGGGGAATAAATAAACGTGCAGTCAAGTGTTTTCGTTTTCTCAATGTCTGCTTTGAGACGAGCTCATGATGAAGTTAGAAATTTGTGAGTCAGAATCTTCCCAAAATGTTGCATGAATCTCCTCGTGCGCACAGCTTAAGCGAAAACAGGGTAGATTCATTGTTACGTATCAAATTAGACGGCAGTATTATGAAGTTTCTGTAATTGCTCAACCGCTCAGCACTGCCGGGATGTGTTGTGACACAAAGAACATTATCTGTCAGCGGATGCTTTTCTCTGCTTTGACACGTCTTCATGTACCGGCATCTTGGGGGATCTGTCATGGTTGAGAGACAGAATCCCCCCCTTCCCCCTTGTATGTGCACGGCCCGGCGAACAGACTGCTGGGAGTAGAGGTCAGCAGCGCCTGGGCCATCACGCTGCTGACAGCTCAGATTTATTTTTAATCTCGGGTGATGAGAGCTCGCCACACAGATCATGTGGCTTGTTAGCGTTGAGTGGTGAGCCCCGGCACCATCGTGCTATGATCTTATACAAAGAAAATGTGACAAAATAATGACCTTGGACGAGGTAAAGCTCGGATAATTGGGAGGCAGACAGGACGGCGTTTTTGATTGTTATTCCCGGAGTGAAATGTTCATTGAAAAGTCAGGTCATTCCTCCTCTGTTTCACCCTTATCAACACCTCTGACCTCTCCACAAGTGAAGGACATTCTGTTGATTGTGTTTAACTTATTTACCCTCCACTCATTTTTGACCAATTTCTTTATGATTGCTGAAAAAAAAAAATGTCATTATCGTTGCATCAGCAAGCACATTACTCGCTGTCTAAAGTGACTGCGGTCACACAGGCAATTTTGCTGACAGTACTTTCTCCCTTCTCTCCCCGATGTCTTTGTCTCTCTATTTTCTTCCTCTCTCTCCGCCTCTCCATCTATCTGTCTCTCTCTCTTTTCTGATAGGTGCCAATTATACAGGCTGAGTGTCGAAGCCGGCCCCGGTCGCCGCTGACCCCGTTGGCCACCTTTAATGTCAACTCCCCGGCTCCTAAGTGAAGGGAATTACCCCACTCTTAGTCTCCAATCAGGGAAAAAAAAAAGAAGAAGAGCAACACAGCAAAATGCAGAGCTTGACTCTTCTGCAGCGGGTCTGACTGCTCTTGCTGTGTACTAAAGCACAGGGTCAGGACTGTGTGGATAAAAAAAAAAAAAAAAAAACCCAGAGGGTTTTGACATTTCAGCCTCACTGTCTTTTTTAGTGTTCGCTCCTCTTCTGGCCTCTCTTCTTTTTTTTTTTTTTTTTTTTGGAGTGCGCCCAGATGATGGGGTGGTGTCGCTCAGGCGTGTGCAGAGCCCTGGCTCTCTTGGCGCTCCTGTTCCCCCTGCGGGAGATGGGGGGCTGCTGGGGGCTGAATCCCAGCTCTGGGGATCTGGAGAACTCCCAGCACTCTGATCCAGACCCCTGGGAGGTCCTGCACAGGCACAGACGCAGCTGGGTATGGAACCAGTTCTTCGTATTGGAGGAGTACACGGGAAATGAGCCGCTCTACGTCGGCAAGGTAAGTGATCTGTGACTGTTAATGGAGCAGCATCAGCACGGCTTGATGTGCCACAATATGCACAGGAAACTGATGCACCCAACACCCCCAACATACCCTATCCCTGGAGATCCAGCTCCTGGTTTAATGCTCCTTTACAGTGAAACACATATCAATAACCTCTTAGCATAATGACCTACAAAATCTAGGACACAGAAGTGTTTTATGGAGTTGCATATATTCCAAGCGCCCTATATAAAGTGTTAAACAAATGAAAGCAGCAGACACAGACAGTGTAGGAAGGAAAGTATCCTGTGTTTTATTCCATCAAGGCTGAAGTACGTGCTTGTACAAATGTGCGGTTTGAGTTTAGAGGACGACGTGCGACGTGACAAGGTAATTTGCATCGCAATCATTCCCGCCGAAAAAAGGTGCAGATTACTCAAATGTGTCTTTGTAGAGTAGGTGTTCTGCCCGGGCACAAGCCGATAGATCAAAGTAATGCATGTTTTGGCAGATAAACAAGTTTGCAACCCTCCCAATGACACAAATGGCAGAGTTAACGTGAGGCTACGTCGACAGAGTGACTGATGGTGCTTTTGTGAGATACTGTAACGCCGCCTTTTCTATTATGCATGACTTTCCCCCTCAGGTGAGAGTGTACGCAGGCCAGAGCAGGATGCACTTCACTTACATGAAGGAAGGAATACAACAGCTTAGAAAAAGTCAACGGGTACAGAACCTGCAGTGAACTTCATCATTTAAAGCAACTCTAGGTGCTGAAGTGAACATTGATAAGAAGAGAACAGCATGTTTATTAAACGTATTAGAAACACTTCTAACATGTTTATAAAAGGGTAATTAATACCTTATGACAAAAAGAACGACATATCTATCAGTAGGCAACAATAAAGCCACAAATCAAGATTATTAGGCCATAGTTAAAGATTTACTTCAGAGGGTCGTTGTTTGCATCTAAGAAATAATTGAACTAATGGACTCGGTCTGCAAGTGGTTGCCATTTCTTCTGCTTCCTCCTGGTGCTTTATGGCAGATTTGGTACCCAACTATGTTGAAACTGCCACCTGCTGTATCAGACTGTGTACATACCTAAGTGTTCTCGGGTACTGAACGATGTTACTAATGTGAATGCAGAGCAGCGAGGGAGAGAGAGAGAGGGAAGGGGGGGAGCATTCATACTCGGGCACGGTGCATAACAATCCTGCATAATGTGAAAACACCTTAAAATGCACTCAAGCACAGCACTTAGATATAGCACCTTTATAACTGAAGCTAGTTACAGTCCACCAGTTGAAGCGTGGGGTGACACAGCTGTCAACAATAGAGGTAGACCAGCAAATATTTATTTTTTAATTGAAATAGAGTGGATGTAAAGTTGAATAAAATGTCAAAACAACCATCTAAAAACCTTCTTCAGTTTTTCCTCCCTGCTTCGGAACGTGCCTATCACTACTACTACTTCTATTTTTAAAAAATGGCTTTCATAAAAATGGTTGTTTGGCACCACACTTGTTTGGTGTACACAGAGCTTTCAGCACCAGCGTTTGAATGGACAGCTCCTGCCTGTTATATCCGACTCTGGTTTGTGCAGCGAAGGGGGCCAGATGGGTCTCGGATTGGTCTCTAGATCCCTGTTATCTTGGAGAATTTTCTGGTCTTATTATTAAATTAGTTTTCATCTTTTCGCTCATCTGCAGGATAATCACTCTCATCTGCATGTATTTGCCGGGTCTGCTCTCACAAGCCCATTTCCTTGCTGTCTCTGAACTGGATTAGCGTCTCCAGCTGGAATTAGGATACATTTCACTGTCCTATTGTTCTCCTTCTCTGTTTTTGCCAGAGGGCTGTCGGCGGAGAGCTTCAAATCAGAATGAGCCTTTTTTTTCTGTGACACAGCCGGAGTTCAGATAAAGGTCATTTCTTGTCCGAGCGTCCCCAGCTTCTTAGACGCTGTCTTGTCTCATCTGTTTGTCCCCAAATATCTACTAAATCTGCCTCTTTTAGGCAAGCATTTTTGCTTGTGAACATCTGTTTTCTGTTTGGGATGTCATGTCCTTGTCTCGCGTGTGTTGCCAGTTTGAAAGTTACAGAAGGAAAACCAGTACAGAGTGGAGAGAATTTGGAGTGCCTCTTTTTTCTTTTACACATGCTTGTGTATGATTGCTTTTCTTGTTAGTAAATCCCAAAGGATGTGAGCGAGCTGATTACTTATTCATAGATGTGTGGAGATCTGCTTATCCACATGGAATATACACAAACTCATTTGCAAACCTCTTCCCCCCCCCCCTCCTTACAGGTAAGCGTTTTATTCCTTCACATTTGTGCATTGATTGATCTTTATTCTGTCTGGCATTCGAAGCCATCCTTCTCAGCTTGCATTTGCAGATATCATGTAAAAAAAAAAGCACATCAGGCTTCATCTTTACATCTGACCTTGTGCCCCAGTTCAATCCAAACATTTTAGAGATGTGAAAAATCAGATGCATTTACTCCCCTCGGGCGAGCGCGGGCTGCCCTGGGAGCTTTGTGAAGCTGTCACATTATTTGTTCCCTGAGATCGTAGTTGTCATACAGTTTGTGTTTGCTTGCTATCACAAGGGCACGCTGGTGCTGTGAAAAGTCCAAGTGGGACACTCTGACCTCAGTTTGAGCGACACGGAAGGTCCTGCCATGTCAGGAAAATGACCTTACTAGAAATGAATGCTTTATGTAGCTTCTGCAAAAAAAAAAAAAAACAAGACATGCAGCTGAAGCTCGTTTTTTCATACTCAGCTGTAAAAAAAAATAATAAATTCAGCAGGTTACGACATGAGCAGTAATTGCTTTAGACAGAAGCTTCTATTATGACAAACAATAGGAATCTGTGTCCAAACAATGGCGCAGCCGCTGCACATTTTGGTCATTTATTTGGCCTGGAAGCAAAGGGGAAACGTGATATAGTTTGGTGGAAAATGGAAAGTCATCACTTTGGCCTCCTTGCTCCCTTTGAATCTGCAGTCTGCTTTGCTTTAATGCATTCTGTCAGATTCCGAATTTCACAACCAAATGTCTCATTATGCCTTGGCACTGTGCCTCGGGAAAGTGTACTGGCCTGGAATCAGCTGCAGCCACATCAAGCGGGTGGAAACATACATTAAAGAAGCCCCTAAACTGCACAGCCTTCTGCTGTAAATTGGTGACGCTTGTATTTGAACAAGCGAGCACGCTGCAGCAGCTCATCCGCTTAACAAACACTTACTGGTAAACATGTTGTGATCATTTTTCTCTGCAGTATTCATATGACTAAATATTTGCAAGTGAATTAATCTGTAGCGCCGGCTGACTTGGACACGTAAGCAGGCGTTCAAAAGTCAGGTTTGGATCTGGGTTTTGTAAAGTAAGTCTAAGGCTAAGCTATATACTTTTGCTTTTTCTTTTTTTTGGGGGGGGGGCTTTTTAGGCCTTTCTTGTAGAGATAGGACAGTGGATAGAGTTGGAAATTAGTGACAAAGGAGTGGGGAATGGCAATCTGGAAAGGAGTATCGGATCTGAACCCAGGACTACAGCCTCTGTACATGGGACGTGCGCCCTAACCACTCGGCCACCGGCGCTCCCTTACTTTGGCTATTTCATTATTTTGTTGCTCTTCAAAATTAATGCAAATGTAAAACTGCAATCTCTACAACCTAGGCTACAAATTGTACAAGTCAATAAATACATGAAGTTGTGTCAATAAAGAAAAAAAACAAAAACTTAAATTTTAATATGATTTAGCTGAATAAATACCAAATTATCCCCAAAATGTGTTCATATAAAAACATGTCTTAACACTCCAGAAATTCCTTGAACTCAGCATATCTTTTAAAAGATTTGAGAGCTATGATAATTTTTAAGAGAAAACTTTGTCATGAACTAATAAGAAATATTTGATCTGCAAAAGAAATCCAAAGCGCTGCATCGTGGCTGTAGCATTATTTGTGTCTGAATGCCTCATACCCATCAAATCTGTGAAACAGAGGGCTCTGCAGGTTGTGTATGTCGTGCTATTTTAAATAAGTTATGGCAAAATAATAATGGTAACTTTATTTGTATAGCACCTTTAAAAGACAGATGTTTACAAAGTGCTTTGACAGAAAAAGCAAAGACAGGAAGTCAGGACAACAACAGTCTACAAAAACAATATAAATGCAAATGACAAAAACAAGAAAGGTACAACAGGCAGGTCTCAAAAGTCAGTTCAAGCTGATGACAATGATATAAAAATGAGGGAGAAGAAGACGGCATGATCAATGATTGAGCAATGTGTTTTAACAGTAGACAGAAGCCATAGCTCTCTGTTGCAAAAATAATGAAGGCTGAAGATATGAAAGTTGTTTTTCTAGATGGATTTAAACACATTTAAACAATTATCGTCTACTAACTGGACGTCTGTGCTTAAGCGCACACAGAAACACCTCTAGCTGTTAAAGTTCTGATTCTGGATTGATTTGATCAGGATCATGTAAGGGCAGGAGATACAGGTGACCAAAAGTCAAGTCCAACAGGTTAAAAAACTGTTTTATTACTCAGGCCATCAAGCTTCTGAACTCTAATGATGACCCTGATGACTGAAGATGGGTTTAATTCTGTTTTTGATGATGGTTTTACAGACGTTTTTATACTAAAAATGTTGTATTGTTTTCACCTGGCTGCAAACCAAATTTCCCCTCAGGGACAATTAAGTTAAACGTTGAAAGTTGAAGTTGTAAAAACTAGAGTGAGATAAGTTCACAGAGGATTAAATCACCTTGCTTTAAACACTGGAATAGTTCCTTACACATTTGAAAGCTACAGTTGAAGATGTAGCTTTTTCATAGATCTGTTTATGTTCAGTGGACCGGAGACATTTGCAGCCCGTCAGGCAGAGTGCTCCTTCAGACAGACACGGCCCTTATGCTGAATCTCACCTTTTTTTCATACACGTCTTCAGAATGGGCAGACGGACTAACCATCAGACTAATGGATGGACCTATTTCACCTTA